ATTGTTTGGCTGCACAATCCCAATCATTTTCTCAGGAATTGTTTGATATTTAACAGCAGGCTCATTGATCCCTAGCCAATAGGACATGTGTAACACATTTAGAAATGTTTATATTGTTTAGTTTTGAGGGAATGCATTCATTCATATGAAGAATTTTAGTTTCCTCATATTTTTGTACTGTTTGTGAACTAATTCCTTTTTTTCGAAATTCTTTCCTACCTTCGACATTATTTTGAGTGTTATTTGTTGGTCTGGGTGGATTCAAAAAGTTTGCTTTTTTCCAGGAAGAGTTGCCATATTCTCAGTAGATTATTGAATCATTAATGATTAGAATCTGAAGGATATTTTCAGAAATATAGTCCAACCTACCAAGAGAAATGCATGAGCTGGTTTGGACAATATTGATTGGCATCATATGCATCCAAATTAGACAAATGAAAGAAAAAATCAGAACAATTTATTATCCACATCTAGATGATCAAACTAATTGAAAATGTACTTAATTTCCCCCAACTACTATCGCAGTCATGTGACATCATCCAAATGAAATTAATGCATTTGTTAATTTCATAATTTTTCTTGAATTCATTGACTTTCATTACTATATCCATTCAGAGGATTCATATACATCTGAATCTTCAAAAATGAAATTTTTCATCCATTGCGTGGCTAAATAACAGAACTCTTATTTAACTGCTTGTCGACCAGCCACAGTGTAGAGGATGTAAACTAGCAGCAGGACGCATCGCTGTGCAAAATCATGTATATATACACGATTTTTGCATTTTCCGAGTAGTGGGCCGCTGCATCGAGGTGCATGACCGCCTATACCCACGTTGCTGATCCTGGGCCTCGGGTTGTCAATCACCTGGTTCCGGGATGGGGATTACCCACAGGAGCCCGGTGATTACCGGCAAATTACTGACAGGGAGGACTGCTGCATTGGAATCCGAAAAATAGCCTAATTCGGACGCGCGAATCGAAATTTTTCCGAAAATGGCGGCTGACATGTGCGGCGACGGAGCGGGGATGTCTGGGAAGGCGCGCAGACAAGGCGCGCTGACCCATAATGCATTCCTCAACGACATGTGATCGCATCAGCCAATCAGCAGCCAGCCAGCTAGCACTGTGTAATGGTCGAGCTATAAATAGCGGCCATTTTGGAATTCTTCATTTGCCTGCAGTCATTGAACAGAGGCAGACCGCTCTGTATTAGGGACAGGGACAGAGTTAGGGCCACAGAAACGATACTTGGGGACAGAGAAACGATACTTAGGGACAGAGAACTATTACTCAGGGACACAGAATTGTTAATTAGGGCCACAGAATCGTTACTTAGGGACAAACAAAAACGCTAGTTAGGGCCACAGAATTCATACTCAGGGACAGACAGAATTGTTACTGAGTGCCAGAGAATTGTTACTTAGGGCCACAGAAACGTTATTAGGGCCACAGAATTGTTACTCAGGGACAGACAGAATTGTTACTGAGTGCCAGAGAATTGTTACTTAGGGCCACAGAAACGTTATTAGGGCCACAGAATTGTTACTCAGGGACAGACAGAATTGTTACTGAGTGCCAGAGAATTGTTACTTAGGGCCACAGAAACGTTATTAGGGCCACAGAATTGTTACTCAGGGACAGACAGAATTGTTACTGAGGGCCAGAGAATTGTTACTTAGGGCCAGAAACTTTAGTTAGGGCCACAGAATTGTTACTCAGGGACAGACACAGAATTGTTACTGAGGGCCACAGAACTGTTACTTAGGGCCACAGAATTGTTACTCGCACAGACACAGAATTGTTACTCGCACAGACACAGAATTGTTACTCAGGGCCACAGAACTGTTACTTAGGGCCACAGAATTGTTACTCGCACAGACACAGAATTGTTACACAGGGACACAGAACTGTTACTTAGGGCCACAGAATTGTTACTCGCACAGACACAGAATTGTTACTCGCACAGAGGGGGACACAGAATTGTTACAGAGGGCCACAGAACTGTTACTTAGGGCCACACAGAATTGTTACTCGCACAGACACAGAATTGTTACACAGGGACACAGAACTGTTACTTAGGGCCACAGAATTGTTACTCGCACAGACACAGAATTGTTACTCAGGGACACAGAATTGTTACTGAGGGCCACAGAACTGTTACTTAGGGCCACAGAATTGTTACTCGCACAGACACAGAATTGTTACTCAGGGACACAGAAATTGTTACTGAGGGCCACAGAACTGTTACTTAGGGCCACAGAATTGTTACTCGCACAGACACAGAATTGTTACACAGGGACACAGAACTGTTACTTAGGGCCACAGAATTGTTACTCGCACAGACACAGAATTGTTACTCAGGGACACAGAATTGTTACTGAGGGCCACAGAACTGTTACTTAGGGCCACAGAATTGTTACTCGCACAGACACAGAATTGTTACTCGCACAGACACAGAATTGTTACTACTGAGGGCCACAGAACTGTTACTTAGGGCCACAGAATTGTTACTCGCACAGACACAGAATTGTTACTCAGGGACACAGAATTGTTACTGAGGGCCACAGAACCGTTACTTAGGGCCACAGAAACGTTAATCAGGGGACACAGAATTGTTACTGAGGGCCACAGAACCGTTACTTGGGGCCACAGAAATTGTTAATCAGGGACACAGAATTGTTACTGAGGGCCACAGAACTGTTACTTAGGGCCACGAATTGTTACTCGCACAGACACAGAATTGTTACTCAGGGACACAGAACTGTTACTGAGGGCCACAGAACTGTTACTTAGGGCCACAGAATTGTTACTCGCACAGACACAGAATTGTTACTCAGGGACACAGAACTGTTACTGAGGGCCACAGAACTGTTACTTAGGGCCACAGAATTGTTACTCGCACAGACACAGAATTGTTACTCGCACAGACACAGAATTGTTACTGAGGGCCACAGAACTGTTACTTAGGGCCACAGAATTGTTACTCGCACAGACACAGAATTGTTACTCGCAGGGACACAGAATTGTTACTGAGGGCCACAGAACTGTTACTTAGGCCACAGAATTGTTACTCGCACAGACACAGAATTGTTACTGAGGGACACAGAATTTTTACTGAGGGACACAGAATTGTTACTGAGGGACACAGAATTGTTACTCAGGGACAGACACAGAATTGTTACTCAGGGACACAGAATTGTTACTGAGGGCCACAGAACTGTTACTGAGGGCCACAGAACTGTTACTTAGGGCCACAGAATTGTTACTCAGGGCACAGACACAGAATTGTTACTCGCACAGACACAGAATTGTTACTGAGGGCCACAGAACTGTTACTTAGGGCCACAGAATTGTTACTCGCACAGACACAGAATTGTTACTCAGCACAGACACAGAATTGTTACTGAGGGCCACAGAATTGTTACTTAGGGCCACAGAATTGTTACTCGCACAGACACAGAATTGTTACTGAGGGACACAGAATTGTTACTGAGGGACACAGAATTGTTACTGAGGGACACACAGAATTGTTACTAGGGCACAGACACAGAATTGTTACACAGGGACACAGAATTGTTACTGAGGGCCACAGAACCGTTACTTAGGGCCACAGAATTGTTACTCGCACAGACACAGAATTGTTACTCGCACAGACACAGAATTGTTACTGAGGGCCACAGAATTGTTACTCACAGACACAGAATTGACACAGAATTGTTACTGAGGGACACAGAATTGTTACTGAGGGCCACAGAATTGTTACCGTTACTTAGGGCCACAGAATTGTTACTCAGGGACACAGAATTGTTACTGAGGGCCACAGAACCGTTACTTGAGGGCCACAGAAACGTTACTCAGGGACACAGAATTGTTACTGAGGGCCACAGAATTGTTACTTAGGGCCACAGAATTGTTACTCGCACAGACACAGAATTGTTACTCAGGGACACAGAACTGTTACTGAGGGCCACAGAACTGTTACTTAGGGCCACAGAATTGCCTTTACTACTCGCACAGACACAGAATTGTTACTCGCACAGGGACACAGAATTGTTACTGAGGGCCACAGAACTGTTACTTAGGGCCACAGAATTGTTACTCGCACAGACACAGAATTGTTACTCGCACAGACACAGAATTGTTACTGAGGGCCACAGAACTGTTACTTAGGGCCACAGAATTGTTACTCGCACAGACACAGAATTGTTTGTTACTGAGGGACACAGAATTTTTACTGAGGGACACAGAATTGTTACATAGAGGGACACAGAATTGTTACTCAGGACAGACACAGAATTGTTACTCAGGGACAGACAGAATTGTTACTGAGGGCCACAGAAATGTTACTTAGGGCCACAGAAACGTTACTCAGGGACACAGAATTGTTACTCAGGGACACAGAATCGTTTAATTAAAGAGTATGTCAGACAACATGCAGAGGGTGGCAGAGGAGGCAATGTTTTTAGCTGAGCGAGCAGACGTGGCAGCAGAGGAAGGGGTCGAGGCAGCACTATTCGCAGCCAGAGGCTAGTGCTCCCGGTGTCATCCAGTACAGTGAGGAAGAGCTAACAGAGGGCGGTCAGGAACGGGGGGAGACATCCGCCTCTTCAGCAGCCAGGCGAAGAAGTAGTGGCGAGGAGAGTGGCTCGGTAGCCGGTCTAGAGACAGGTCTGTCTCCTGACCCACACGCAGCCGAGGGGGCTAGTAGTGAGGCGGAGACCCTAATTGATGATGATGAGGCTGATCGCACTTGGCAGCCTCGTCGTCATCAGGCTATTGCTTCCGCATGCATCAGGAGAAGAGGGTGGCAGCTTGGCAGCGAGCAAAACAGTCGGTGGGTTGTCTCCATCGCCACACTCTGCCATGTGCCACTTTCAGGTCTCCTCACACACTGCTGGTGTGTTGAATTTTTTTGACATAGGGTGCTGGCAGATTACGGGCCTCCCATAGCTGCTGCCAGGCCCCTAATCTGCCATGGGCCCCTATATACCGCCTCCTCATGCTGCTGCCAGGTCCAGAGTCTGTCATGGGTCCCTGTACGGCCTCCCATTGCTGCTGTCTCCATCGCCACACTCTGCCATGTGCCACTTTCAGGTCTCTCACACACTGCTGGTGTGTTGAATTTTTTGACATAGGGTGCTGGCAGATTACGGGCCTCCCATAGATGCTGCCAGCCCCTAATCTGCCATGGGCCCCTATATACCGCCTCCTCATGCTGCTGCCAGGTCCAGAGTCTGTCATGGGTCCCTGTACGGCCTCCCATTGCTGCTGTCTCCATCGCCACACTCTGCCATGCCACTTTCAGGTCTCCTCACACACTGCTGGTGTGTTGAATTTTTTGACATAGGGTGCTGGCAGATTACGGGCCTCCCATAGATGCTGCCAGGCCCCTAATCTGCCATGGGCCCCTATATACCGCCTCCTCATGCTGCTGCCAGGTCCAGAGTCTGTCATGGGTCCCTGTACGGCCTCCCATTGCTGCTGTCTCCATCGCCACACTCTGCCATGTGCCACTTTCAGGTCTCCTCACACACACACTGCTGGTGTGTTGAATTTTTTGACATAGGGTGCTGGCAGATTACGGGCCTCCCATAGCTGCTGCCAGGCCCCTAATCTGCCATGGGCCCCTATATACCGCCTCCTCATGCTGCTGCCAGGTCCAGAGTCTGTCATGGGTCCCTGTACGGCCTCCCATTGCTGCTGTCTCCATCGCCACACTCTGCCATGTGCCACTTTCAGGTCTCCTCACACACTGCTGGTGTGTTGAATTTTTTGACATAGGGTGCTGGCAGATTACGGGCCTCCCATAGCTGCTGCCAGGCCCCTAATCTGCCATGGGCCCCTATATACCGCCTCCTCATGCTGCTGCCAGGTCCAGAGTCTGTCATGGGTCCCTGTACGGCCTCCCATTGCTGCTGTCTCCATCGCCACACTCTGCCATGTGCCACTTTCAGGTCTCCTCACACACTGCTGGTGTGTTGAATTTTTTGACATAGGGTGCTGGCAGATTACGGGCCTCCCATAGCTGCTGCCAGGCCCCTAATCTGCCATGGGCCCCTATATACCGCCTCCTCATGCTGCTGCCAGGTCCAGAGTCTCTCATGGGTCCCTGTACGGCCTCCCATTGCTGCTGTCTCCATCGCCACACTCTGCCATGTGCCACTTTCAGGTCTCCTCACACTGCTGGTGTGTTGAATTTTTTGACATATAGGGTGCTGGCAGATACGGGCCTCCCATAGCTGCTGCCAGGCCCCTAATCTGCCATGGGCCCCTATATACCGCCTCCTCATGCTGCTGCCAGGTCCAGAGTCTGTCATGGGTCCCTGTACGGCCTCCCATTGCTGCTGTCTCCATCGCCACACTCTGCCATGTGCCACTTTCAGGTCTCCCTCACACACTGCTGGTGTGTTGAATTTTTTGACATAGGGTGCTGGCAGATTACGGGCCTCCCATAGCTGCTGCCAGGCCCCCCTAATCTGCCATGGGCCCCCTATATACCGCCTCCTCATGCTGCTGCCAGGTCCAGAGTCTCTCATGGGTCCCTGTACGGCCTCCCATTGCTGCTGTCTCCATCGCCACACTCTGCCTGCCATGTGCCACTTTCAGGTCTCCTCACACTGCTGGTGTGTTGAAATTTTTTGACATAGGGTGCTGGCAGATTACGGGCCTCCCTATAGCTGCTGCCAGGCCCCTAATCTGCCATGGCCCCCCTATACCGCCTCCTCATGCTGCTGCCAGGTCCAGAGTCTGTCATGGGTCCCTGTACGGCCTCCCATTGCTGCTGTCTCCATCGCCACACTCTGCCATGTGCCACTTTCAGGTCTCCTCACACACTGCTGGTGTGTTGAATTTTTTGACATAGGGTGCTGGCAGATTACGGGCCTCCCATAGCTGCTGCCAGGCCCCTAATCTGCCATGGGCCCCTATATACCGCCTCCTCATGCTGCTGCCAGGTCCAGAGTCTGTCATGGGTCCCTGTACGGCCTCCCCATTGCTGCTGTCTCCATCGCCACACTCTGCCATGTGCCACTTTCAGGTCTCCTCACACACTGCTGGTGTGTTGAATTTTTTGACATAGGGTGCTGGCAGATTACGGGCCTCCCATAGCTGCTGCCAGGCCCCTAATCTGCCATGGGCCCCTATATACCGCCTCCTCATGCTGCTGCCAGGTCCAGAGTCTGTCATGGGTCCCTGTACGGCCTCCCATTGCTGCTGTCTCCATCGCCACACTCTGCCATGTGCCACTTTCAGGTCTCCTCACACACTGCTGGTGTGTTGAATTTTTTGACATAGGGTGCTGGCAGATTACGGGCCTCCCATAGCTGCTGCCAGGCCCCTAATCTGCCATGGGCCCCTATATACCGCCTCCTCATGCTGCTGCCAGGTCCAGAGTCTGTCATGGGTCCCTGTACGGCCTCCCATTGCTGCTGTCTCCATCGCCACACTCTGCCATGTGCCACTTTCAGGTCTCCTCACACACTGCTGGTGTGTTGAATTTTTTGACATAGGGTGCTGGCAGATTACGGGCCTCCCATAGCTGCTGCCAGGCCCCTAATCTGCCATGGGCCCCTATATACCGCCTCCTCATGCTGCTGCCAGGTCCAGAGTCTCTCATGGGTCCCTGTACGGCCTCCCATTGCTGCTGTCTCCATCGCCACACTCTGCCATGTGCCACTTTCAGGTCTCCTCACACACTGCTGGTGTGTTGAATTTTTTGACATAGGGTGCTGGCAGATTACGGGCCTCCCATAGCTGCTGCCAGGCCCCTAATCTGCCATGGGCCCCTATATACCGCCTCCTCATGCTGCTGCCAGGTCCAGAGTCTGTCATGGGTCCCTGTACGGGCCTCCCATTGCTGCTGCTGTCTCCATCGCCACACTCTGCCATGTGCCACTTTCAGGTCTCCTCACACACTGCTGGTGTGTTGAATTTTTTGACATAGGGTGCTGGCAGATTACGGGCCTCCCATAGCTGCTGCCAGGCCCCTAATCTGCCATGGGCCCCTATATACCGCCTCCTCATGCTGCTGCCAGGTCCAGAGTCTGTCATGGGTCCCTGTACGGCCTCCCATTGCTGCTGTCTCCATCGCCACACTCTGCCATGTGCCACTTTCAGGTCTCCTCACACACTGCTGGTGTGTGTTGAATTTTTTGACATAGGGTGCTGGCAGATTACGGGCCTCCCATAGCTGCTGCCAGGCCCCTAATCTGCCATGGGCCCTATATATACCGCCTCCTCATGCTGCTGCCAGGTCCAGAGTCTGTCATGGGGTCCCTGTACGGCCTCCCATTGCTGCTGTCTCCATCGCCACACTCTGCCATGTGCCACTTTCAGGTCTCCTCACACACTGCTGGTGTGTTGAATTTTTTGACATAGGGTGCTGGCAGATTACGGGCCTCCCATAGCTGCTGCCAGGCCCCTAATCTGCCATGGGCCCCTATATACCGCCTCCTCATGCTGCTGCCAGGTCCAGAGTCTGTCATGGGTCCCTGTACGGCCTCCCATTGCTGCTGTCTCCATCGCCACACTCTGCCATGTGCCACTTTCAGGTCTCCTCACACACTGCTGGTGTGTTGAATTTTTTTTTTGACATAGGGTGCTGGCAGATTACGGGCCTCCCATAGCTGCTGCCAGGCCCCTAATCTGCCATGGGCCCCTATATACCGCCTCCTCATGCTGCTGCCAGGTCCAGAGTCTGTCATGGGTCCCTGTACGGGCCTCCCATTGCTGCTGTCTCCATCGCCACACTCTGCCATGTGCCACTTTCAGGTCTCCTCACACACTGCTGGTGTGTTGAATTTTTTGACATAGGGTGCTGGCAGATTACGGGCCTCCCATAGCTGCTGCCAGGCCCCTAATCTGCCATGGGCCCCTATATACCGCCTCCTCATGCTGCTGCCAGGTCCAGAGTCTGTCATGGGTCCCTGTACGGCCTCCCATTGCTGCTGTCTCCATCGCCACACTCTGCCATGTGCCACTTTCAGGTCTCCTCACACACTGCTGGTGTGTTGAATTTTTTGACATAGGGTGCTGGCAGATTACGGGCCTCCCATAGCTGCTGCCAGGCCCCTAATCTGCCATGGGCCCCTATATACCGCCCTCCTCATGCTGCTGCCAGGTCCAGAGTCTGTCATGGGTCCCTGTACGGCCTCCCATTGCTGCTGTCTCCATCGCCACACTCTGCCATGTGCCACTTTCAGGTCTCCTCACACACTGCTGGTGTGTTGAATTTTTTGACATAGGGTGCTGGCAGATTACGGGCCTCCCATAGCTGCTGCCAGCCCCTAATCTGCCATGGGCCCCTATATACCGCCTCCTCATGCTGCTGCCAGGTCCAGAGTCTCTCATGGGTCCCTGTACGGCCTCCCATGCTGCTGTCTCCATCACACTCTGCCATGTGCCACTTTCAGGTCTCCTCACACTGCTGGTGTGTTGAATTTTTTGACATAGGGTGCTGGCAGATTACGGGCCTCCTATAGCTGCTGCCAGGCCCCTAATCTGCCATGGGCCCCTATACCGCCTCCTCTGCTGCTGCAGGCGAACGTAGTCACACAGGGGAGGTCTCAGTGTAATGAACAGAGAAATCGACAGATGGCTGTCTCCCGCGCAAACTGAAAATGGGAACCATGTTGACCGACAACGGAAAGAACATGGTGTCTGCTGCGTCAAGTAAGGTTTGTGCCATGCGCCCATGCATGGCTCACGTGTTCAATCTGGTTGTCAAGCCCTAAAATCCACCATCCCACTGCAAGACATCCTTAAAATGTCACGTAAACTTTGCATGCATTTCAGCCATTCCTACACCGCAAAGCACACCCCCTTGAGCTGCAGCGGCAGAACGGAATTCCACAGCATCGCCTGACTCTCATGCTGCGACGTTGCAACAAGGTGGAATTCAACCCTACACATGTAGTAGACCGCCTTTTTACGAACAGCGAAAGGCCATCACCGATTTCCTGATGTTACAAGCGGATAAAGGTACTCCCCTGTGTAACTTCGATGTCAGCCATTGGCAGCTCATGCGTGACACCTGCCGCTTGCTCAGGCCCTTTGAGGAGGCCACGCTATTCGTGAGTCGGCAGGACTATGGGATGAACGACATCATTCCTCTGTTGCACGTCCTGGAACAAATGCTGTTAACAATGGCTGGTCAGGGTGCGGTAGACGTGGCGCACCGATCTCAACGCCACATGACCCCTGTGGGGGCAGGACAGGAAGAAGAGAGGAGGAGGTAGAGGAGGACATTTGTGCTCAGGAATTATTGAGTGAAATGGGTGGTTTTTCCACTCAGCGGACAGGAGTGGAGGAGCAGGAGCATCTGGTAGAGGAGGAGGAGGAGGAGACAGAGGACCCAGACGCACCGTGGCAGTATGCTGTGGAGATGGAGGCAGGGAGTCCCTCGCATTCCTTGGCACAAATGGCCCATAGCATGCTCGCTTGCTTGCGTAGCGACAGCCGAATAATAACCATCAGACAGAGGGATGACTTTTGGCTGTCCACCTTGTTGGACCCTCGCTACCGTTCAAAAATGGTGGCCTTTTTTCACACCTGCTGAGAGGGAGGCCAAAATAACGTACTATAAAAACCACCTATGTAGTCAGCTGGTCTCTGCCTTTCTGCGCCAACGTCCATCCTCAGACACTGTGGGCCCTGTGCGCTCGCGTTCCGCTGCCATGGCAGGCAGGGGGGGGGGGTGGTGGTAGGACAGCAGGCAGCTCCACCAGCAGCAGCTGCCTCAGTCTGCAGTCGATGATGAGCTGTGCTTTCTCTCTCACCAGCGCAGTGAGGAAACTACTAACCAGCCGCAGCAGCAGCAGCAGCAGGTGGCCTCCAGACCTCAGCTGCACAGGCCACAGCAGCAGCACCCTGCCATGGGTCCCTGACAGGACCTCCCATTGCTGCTGGCCTACTTGGACACACCCTGCCAACCATGTAGACAACTTTCTTGACTACTGGGCAACGAAACTGCTTTGGCCCCAACTAGCTGAATTTTTTGACATAGGGTGCTGGCCAGTAGCGTGGCATCGGAGCGCATGTGTTTAGTGCTGGCAGGTATTGTAACTCGCGGAGGACACCCTGTCCACCCCAAACCCAAAGTGTGGAGAGACTCACGTTTGTGAAAATGAATCAGGCGTAGGGATTAGTCTGGATTTCAAACCACCACTGAGTTCCTGACACAACTGACTAAATCCGCCATGAATTCATGCCCCAAACATGTGCCACTTTCAGGTCTCCTCACACACTGCTGGTGTGTTCCATTTTTTGTCATAGGGTGCTGGCAGATTACGGGCCTCCCATAGCTGCTGCCAGGCCCCCCCTAATCTGCCATGGGCCCCCTATACCGCCTCCTCATGCTGCTGCCAGGTCCAGAGTCTGCTGTCCCTGTACGGCCTCCATTGCTGCTGTCTCAGTCATCGCCACACTCTGCCATGTGCCACTTTCAGGTCTCCTCACACACTGCTGGTGTGTTCAATTTTTTGACATAGGGTGCTGGCAGATTACGGGCCTCCCATAGCTGCTGCCAGGCCCCTAATCTGCCATGGGCCCCTATATACCGCCTCCTCATGCTGCTGCCAGGTCCAGAGTCTGTCATGGGTCCCTGTACGGCCTCCCATTGCTGCTGTCTCCATCGCCACACTCTGCCATGTGCCACTTTCAGGTCTCCTCACACTGCTGGTGTGTTCAAATTTTTTGACATAGGGTGCTGGCAGATTACGGGCCTCCCATAGCTGCTGCCAGGCCCCTAATCTGCCATGGGGCCCCTATATACCGCCTCCTCATGCTGCTGCCTGCCAGGTCCAGAGTCTCTCATGGGTCCCTGTACGGCCTCCCATTGCTGCTGCTGCTGTCTCCATCGCCACACTCTGCCATGTGCCACTTTCAGGTCTCCTCACACTGCTGGTGTGTTAGAATTTTTTGACATAGGGTGCTGGCAGATTACGGGCCTCCTATAGCTGCTGCCAGGCCCCTAATCTGCCATAGGCCCCTATATACCGCCTCCTCATGCTGCTGCCAGGTCCAGAGTCTCTCATGGGTCCCTGTACGGCCTCCCATTGCTGCTGTCTCCATCGCCACACTCTGCCATGTGCCACTTTCAGGTCTCCTCACACTGCTGGTGTGTAGAATTTTTTGACATAGGGTGCTGGCAGATTACGGGCCTCCTATAGCTGCTGCCAGGCCCCTAATCTGCCATAGGCCCCTATATACCGCCTCCTCATGCTGCTGCCAGGTCCAGAGTCTCTCATGGGTCCCTGTACGGCCTCCCATTGCTGCTGTCTCCATCGCCACACTCTGCCATGTGCCACTTTCAGGTCTCCTCACACACTGCTGGTGTGTAGAATTTTTTGACATAGGGTGCTGGCAGATTACGGGCCTCCTATAGCTGCTGCCAGGCCCCTAATCTGCCATGGGCCCCTATATACCGCCTCCTCATGCTGCTGCCAGGTCCAGAGTCTCTCATGGGTCCCTGTACGGCCTCCCATTGCTGCTGTCTCCATCGCCACACTCTGCCATGTGCCACTTTCAGGTCTCCTCACACTGCTGGTGTGTAGAATTTTTTTGACATAGGGTGCTGGCAGATTACGGGCCCCTATAGCTGCTGCCAGGCCCCTAATCTGCCATAGGCCCCTATATACCGCCTCCTCATGCTGCTGCCAGGTCCAGAGTCTCTCATGGGTCCCTGTACGGCCTCCCATTGCTGCTGTCTCCATCGCCACACTCTGCCATGTGCCACTTTCAGGTCTCCTCACACACTGCTGGTGTGTAGAATTTTTTGACATAGGGTGCTGGCAGATTACGGGCCTCCATAGCTGCTGCCAGGCCCCTAATCTGCCATAGGCCCCTATATACCGCCTCCTCATGCTGCTGCCAGGTCCAGAGTCTCTCATGGGTCCCTGTACGGCCTCCCATTGCTGCTGTCTCCATCGCCACACTCTGCCATGTGCCACTTTCAGGTCTCCTCACACACTGCTGGTGTGTAGAATTTTTTGACATAGGGTGCTGGCAGATTACGGGCCTCCCATAGCTGCTGCCAGGCCCCTAATCTGCCATAGGCCCCTATATACCGCCTCCTCATGCTGCTGCCAGGTCCAGAGTCTCTCATGGGTCCCTGTACGGCCTCCCATTGCTGCTGTCTCCATCGCCACACTCTGCCATGTGCCACTTTCAGGTCTCCTCACACACTGCTGGTGTGTAGAATTTTTTGACATAGGGTGCTGGCAGATTACGGGCCTCCCATATAGCTGCTGCCAGGCCCCCTAATCTGCCATGGGCCCCTATATACCGCCTCCTCATGCTGCTGCCAGGTCCAGAGTCTCTCATGGGTCCCTGTACGGCCTCCCATTGCTGCTGTCTCCATCGCCACACTCTGCCATGTGCCACTTTCAGGTCTCCTCACACTGCTGGTGTGTTAGAATTTTTTGACATAGGGTGCTGGCAGATTACGGGCCTCCCATAGCTGCTGCCAGGCCCCTAATCTGCCATGGGCCCCTATACCGCCTCCTCATGCTGCTGCCAGGTCCAGAGTCTCTCATGGGTCCCTGTACGGCCTCCCATTGCTGCTGTCTCCATCGCCACACTCTGCCATGTGCCACTTTCAGGTCTCCTCACACTGCTGGTGTGTTGAATTTTTTGACATAGGGTGCTGGCAGATTACGGGCCTCCCATAGCTGCTGCCAGGCCCCTAATCTGCCATGGGCCCCTATATACCGCCTCCTCATGCTGCTGCCAAGTCCAGAGAGTGTCATGGGTCCCTGTACGGCCTCCCATTGCTGCTGTCTCCATCGCCACACTCTGCCATGTGCCACACTTCAGGTCTCCTCACACACTGCTGGTGTGTTGAATTTTTTGACATAGGGTGCTGGCAGATTACGGGCCTCCCATTGCTGCTGCCAGGCACGTAATCTGCCATGGGCCCCCGTACCGACTCCTCATGCTGTGACGTTGCAACAAGGTGGAATTCAACCCTACATATGTTAGACCGCCTTTACGAACAGCGAAAGGCCATCACAGATTTCCTGATGTTAAAAGCGGATAAAGGTACTCCCTGTGTAACTTAGATGTCAGCCATTGGCAGCTCATGCGTGACACCTGCGCTTGCTCAGGCCCTTTGAGGAGGCCACGCTATTCGTGAGTCGGCAGGACTATGGGATGAACGACGTCATTCCTCTGTTGCACGTCCTGGAACAAATGCTGTTAACAATGGCTGGTCAGGGTGCGGTAGACGTGGCGCACAGATCTCAACGCCACATGACCCCTGTGGGGGCAGGACAGGAAGAAGAGGAGGAGGTAGAGGAGGACATTGGTGCTCAGGAATTATTGAGTGAAATGGGTGGTTTTTTCCACTCAGCGGACAGGAGTGGAGGAGCAGGAGCATCTGGTAGAGGAGGAGGAGGAGGAGACAGAGGACCCAGACGCACCGTGGCAGTATGCTGTGGAGATGGAGGCAGGGAGTCCCTCGCATTCCTTGGCACAAATGGCCCATAGCATGCTCGCTTGCTTGCGTAGCGACAGCCGAATAATAACCATCAGACAGAGGGATGACTTTTGGCTGTCCACCTTGTTGGACCCTCGCTACCGTTCAAAAAATGTGGCCTTTTTCACACCTGCTGAGAGGGAGGCCAAAATAACGTACTATAAAAACCACCTATGTAGTCAGCTGGTCTCTGCCTGTCTGCGCCAACGTCCATCCTCAGACACTGTGGGCCCTGTGCGCTCGCGTTCCGCTGCCATGGCAGCAGGGGAGGGGTGGGGTGGTAGGAGCAGTGGCAGCTCCACCAGCAGCGGCTGCCTCAGTCTGCAGTCGATGATGAGAGTAGCTTAGCTTTCTTCACCAGCGCAGTGAGGAAACTACTAACCAGCCAGCAGCAGCAGCAGCAGCAGCAGCATCAGGTGGACCTGGAGCAGGACCTCAAACAACAGGCTTAGGCCTACTTGGACAGCACCCTGCCAACCGAGGTAGACAATCCCCTTGACTACTGGGCAACGAAACTTGACCTTTGGCCCCAACTAGCTGAATTTGCCCTTGAAAGGCTGTCATGCCCGGCCAGTAGCGTGGCATCGGAGCGCGTGTTTAGTGCGGCAGGAGGTATTGCAACTCCGCGGAGGACACGACTGTCCACCCAAAGTGTGGAGAGACTGACGTTTGTGAAAATGAATCAGGCGTGGATTAGTCTGGATTTCAAACCACCAGTTCCTGACACAACTGACTAAATCCGCCATGAATCATGCCCCAAACATGTGCCACTTTCAGGTCTCCTCACACTGCTGGTGTGTTACATTTTTTGTCATAGGGTGCTGGCAGATTACGGGCCTCCCATAGCTGCTGCCAGGCCCCTAATCTGCCATGGGCCCCTATACCGCCTCCTCATGCTGCTGCCAAGTCCAGAGTCTCTCATGGGTCCCTGTACGGCCTCCCATTGCTGCTGCTCTCCATCGCCACACTCTGCCATGTGCCACTTTCAGGTCTCCTCACACTGCTGGTGTATTCCATTTTTTGTCATAGGGTGCTGGCAGATTACGGGCCTCCCATAGCTGCTGCCAGGCCCCTAATCTGCCATGGGCCCCTATACCGCCTCCTCATGCTGCTGCCAGGTCCAGAGTCTCTCATGGGTCCCTGTACGGCCTCCCATTGCTGCTGTCTCCATCGCCACACTCTGCCATGTGCCACTTTCAGGTCTCCTCACACTGCTGGTGGGTTCCATTTTTTGTCATAGGGTGCTGGCAGATTACGGGCCTCCCATAGCTGCTGCCAGGCCCCTAATCTGCCATGGGCCCCCGTACCGACTCCTCATGCTGCTGCCAGGCCCGTAATCTGTCATGGGCCCCTGTTGTCGCTTGTTGGCATATTCCGCTCGTTCAGATGCTCCTTCTCCTGCTACTCCTCTTCACGGATTCCGTCAGCAGTCTTTCTTGGAATCCGTTTCCAAGAGACAACAGTTTGCGAGCACGCAC